GATCAACTTCAACGTATTAAATTAGAAAAATATCTTTATACGACATATTTACGTTCTGGTCAGGGTACATTAGTACAAAATAAAGAACCGTCGCTACTATTGTGGCCTAACGAGCTGAAATTAAAAATGATTGCAGAAAATCAAACGAAAGCCACGCATTCGAACGAAATCTATCAAGATGAGTATGTAAAATACGTAGAGAAAATTCTAGAGAAATATAGAATTAAAATGTCCGACTACCAAAATCAATTGGAAGAGAAAAAGCGACATTTACGCAATCGTTGGACAAGTAGAATTGAAGAAACTATTATGAAATTTGTTCAAGACTATAAGATTATTCTATATCAAATACCTATTGAAAAAGAAATCATCCGTATTGAATATGATTTCTTTGATCGATTATCCGAACTTGAATTTTATAGTGAAAATTCAAATGTGTATCAAGTAAATTTTGGAACAGTATAAAACATTATATTTCCTAGTTATCTTCTTCTATTTAGAAACAACTATTTCAATATCTTACACAAAAGAAATTTGATATGGAGAAATCAAAACTAGAACTTGCTCTATTAAAACAGCGTATCACTCATAATCATCTACCAACATCATTTGATAAACTCGAAATATCAATACCTACTCCAATACATACAATAATGGATATGGAGACAGCTCAATCTCTAAAAGGTCGATATGATAAAATTTTACAACGAACAAAAGTTGATATGATGCAGGTTTATGTTGAAGCTGCTGAATTTCGAGCAAATCAATATCGATTACAGTTTAATAATGCAATGAATAAATTAAAAGAAAATGAATCTACACATCTATCCGATAGAATATTAACTAAAGTTATGTTCGATATTATGATAAAACGTTTCAACAATATTAGTGAACACCTTGTGTCTGTCTACAAATTAAAACTTCGTGCTTTCACCAAACTTCGGACAGACACGAAATCCAATTGAACTATCACCGAAGCAAATATACATCTCTAAAGTTAATGTCTCGGCATAAGACTCTTTCAATCTATGAAAAAGAACTTATTTGACACATTCGATATCGTATTTTTTTGCATATTGTAACTGAATTTTCAGATTTCTTTCTAAATATTATATAAATTGTGTCCGTTTGTAAGTTATTAGAAAGCAATTCTAATAGAGAGAGAGATATAGGTCGATCTTTAATATAATTTGTTTAAGAAAATTGTTCTATTATTATTCAATTTTAGAGAATTTTGCATTACTTATTTCAGATTTCAATACTTGTTTAGATTGAGTTCTTGATTTCTAGAAGGCGAAATCACTGATTCAGGCGAAGATGTACGTATTATGTTAAAGATTTTGAATGATTTTCTAAGAGAACATACTTTAATATAGGTTGAACAAGATATTGATCGATGCGATGATATCTTTCATGAATATGGTGACGATATAGATGAAGATGAAGATAAAAATATTGAGTTTGATAATCTTCAGCGAACAATCATTGAAAAGAAAGATGAATCTAACGAAAATGATCACACGAAGAGTATAATTCCAAATGACGAGTTACATGATAATGACTCGAGTGGAATTTTCCTAGATTTTACAGTCGACAAGGACGAATTATGTCAAAAACCTAGCCAACTTGCAGCTTCGCGTAAAGTAAAGCGCACGACACATCAACAACAATCCAACGAACCAAAAAGCAGAAACCGTGCTACGTTAACATCAACTACTCCAACCAAGGTCGAAACTGATCGTAAGTCTAGCTTCTGCTACTAAATGAAATTCATTTGTATACACACCTTTGTATATTCTTGAATTTCTTGAGTTCTTGAATATATTTAAATAGCTGCGAATTCTTTTATTTCTAAAACTTTTGACTATTCTTTTGAATTGGTCAAAAAATTTTCGAAATAATTGTAATTCTTCTATAAAATATTGATTGGTAGTTTAGAGAGAGTTTTATCTTTGAAACTTTCTATAAACTATCTCATTTTTATAGATTTAGGATTGAATTGCAGCATTTTAAAAATTTAATAGCCGAACTTACCTGACGAAGACCCTTAAGCAAGGTCGAAACCGGTCGTAAGTATTGCTTGTTCTATTAAATGAAATTCATTTGTATACACACCCACACCCAAATACTCAGTCATAAAATACGATGTGCCTTTGCATTACATACGAATGTTTTTAATAATTCAGGATAAATATCCATGCACACCCAATTGCATTACCAGAAATAACTTCTATCATATTTCGAAAACGGCAATGTAAAATAATAGTAAAGATATTTGAGTCATTTTGAAACAGCAATCGCTTACTCTAATCCCTATTGCTTTCTATATTCTCATTCTGGTTGTTTATCTACTTTTGACATGCTTTCCACTTCCATATGCTACGCACAAACAAAATCAAAAAAATCAGGCCAATATTGTACTACGTTAAAAAAAACGATAACAAATAACCACTGGTAAGAAAAAAACCTTAATCAATAGAAAAACATTCCTACTCTAACACAATCTTTTCTTTCGTTTTAATTTATCTACACGAACCGTCACAGACACATTGCACAAAGCATCTTGACAACTTTGTCCTCTTCTCTAATCCGTTGTATCTCCCGAACAAGAATCGTAAGTAAATTCGAAAAACTTTAGTTTTGTGGTAACTCTACACATCCATCTATTCTCTCATTTTCTGTTATCATTTTAAATTGCTTTATATTAACTGTAAGAATTATCAATCTATGTCGTATTGTCATGATCACTATTACTTTGATCGCAATTTAAAATTGCATTCTAGATTGAATTGATTATCTTTCAGATTATATTATTCATGGCACGAGAACGAAAGCAAAATTCAACTTTCGATGAAATCGATAAATTACTTGCCGATGAAGAATTTTGTCGAGCAGTAGAAGCATTGAACGACGATGCAGGTAAATATGAAAACTGAAATGAAATTTATTGCAAAAATGTCTAATTATTTTCAATTCTCTAAACAAGACATTACTGTTCACTCATCAACACAGACGACACCGGATCCTTTAAATACTGCTTTTATTGAGGTACGACGTACTATTTGTTTACTCAAAATAGATGTAAAAATGAACATTTTTTTTTCTAATATAAAATAGGAGACCAACCTCAATGAACATCAACAAAGTAATTTATCTCAACAACAAAGTAGTTTATCTCAACAACAAAGTAATTTATCCGAACAACAAAGTAGTTTATCTGAACAACAAAAGAGTTTACCTCAACAACAAAGTAAAAATTATTTTTAAGAAAAATTTCATTATCTAATTATCGATTCAATAGGCCAAACTATAAATGATGCATCAGCCATCCTTCGTGAGTTGGCAGAGATAACGACTGAACATGAACATGAACGGATCGATCAACCTTTACCAACAACAACAGCAGCAGGAAACTTGGTCGAAATAGTTGATCTATCACCATCAACATCTCGTACGATCGATCTACGTACACCGACATCAACAACAATCGATCTTTCTACACCTGCACCAATTACGATCGATTTAGATTCACCTCAAATACCATCCAATACTAACACTACGGACTCACCACTTCATTTAAGTCCAAAATAATACTTTGTTTGTTTTTTTCTTTCCCGTTTTTTTGCCCCATACTCTATTATCCTCTTCCGATAACTTCTGATTTATTACATATCAAGTTATTCCCTTCGTTCAATTCATTTTTGTCCTTTTGTTCTAGATGATTAATTACAATATATTTCATCATGACTCATCATAATGATTCGATGAAAAACAAAGTAACGACGAAAATGTCAATGCGATCTATTCATATATTTATCATTTCATTTTTATTTTTGTATATTATAGTATGATGACTCGTCAGTGTCAACTCATCAGAGTCAACAAGTGGATACTAACATTTGAGTTCAATTGATAAAATAACAAAAGCAGAGATTTGTCGACATTCACTATCAAGAAATCAATCAATCTCTTGAACACACGACTACAATTAGTTGACTTAATCACCAAGAATTAAGGCGAATATCTATACTCATTTATCAAAATACAAAGATTTACAAGGCGAAAAATTGTTATCGACAACATGCTCCAAATTTGCCACTTGATAAGAATTCTTGTAAATTCGAAATACTATTGTATTGTGGTAACTGTAACACACGACCAGATTATAGGTAAACAACTTACCTATAATGACATATTCGCCAATGCAATAAGACGTTCATATGACTCGCTATCACACAAGTATTTGCCACTTGATAAGATTTTATTTGTAAAATCGAAATACTACATATTTAGTATTGTGGTTACTATTCACGCTCACATCCAAACTACTAATGAGTAGCGGGATACTTCTTGTGAGTATAATAAAATTAGATTTATTCTTATATTTCAATAACTATGATATTATTTCTTTGTTTTTTCCTTTGTTTCTAGTACCAAGCACAAGGAGTCACAGGAGAGAGTCATGTTTGTCAGTTTACATAGGTTTTCGATTATTTTTTAAAAATTACTTTCACAATAAATAAATAAATGAATAAATAAATAAATATATATATATATATATATCAGATATAATTTGTTTACTTCATAGGAATCCTAATTCAACTTTTGTTAAAAATATCTGTGATTTATTTTAGATATAAAATATCTTCTATTAAAAAAGATAACGTCTTCTTCTATTACTTCACGTGCATTGATTAACTTTGTAGTATTCAAGAAAATCGAATGGCTACTTTCAAACTTCAAACACTGTTATTACAACCTGTAAAAAAGATGAAAAAATCATGGCATTTCACAAATAATAGCATGTATCATAAGAACATCCAAAAGAGTCAATTATCTATTGATAACTGGAAGACTTCATCACGGATCCTAGCAAATTATAGAAAAATGCCTGACAATCTATTCATACATCGACTATCAAACAGTATTCCTAGTCAGTGTGCAGTGATCCAACGGTCATTAACGAATACTACAATGTTACATTTTATTCGCCGTCGTGCTCTACTCATGTGTACTTTATCAGAATTAAAAATCGAAGAAGATTATTGGAAACATGTTGCTGATGAAGCAATGCCTACTGTAAGATGGTTATCTCAAGCATCTAAAGATATAACGAAACGAAATTCCATTAACTGGGATTATCCTCGAACGGAACACAACATAAGACATCGACAAAGATTAATTTATAATAAACTACAACAAGCAGAGGCGAACTTGAAGGTTCATTTACAACAAAGTCCTCCAAGTGCAGTAAAACAAAATGAAATATCTATTGACGAATCAATGAATATCATTGATCACGCTCTTACTAATCTCGTAAAGAAAGATCTTGAACAATGGGTGAATTATTTTGAACACAAGAAAACCATACTGAACTTCGATATTAATGGAGTCAATCAGGTCAAATCATTCTATGAATATAGTCCAAACAAGGAACAGGTTTTCAACCAAACCTACGACCATATTTTTACTCTTTTTCTTTTCTTCTAGATTCTTTCTGTTCAGAAACTTTGGCGAATAACTGCCAAATCATACAAACGAGCAATTACTCTAAAAAGAAATTCTTCATTGTTAACTAAACAAACATTTAAAAAAAAAGGAATGATACAAAACAACTCGGCTCATGACCACATGAACGCAATTGGATTCGACTGCAATACTGGCCATTCTGATCAAAGTGTTTCAACAACTTTGCTTCAACCGTTCCTCGGTCCTATGCGCAATATTATTGAAGTTCGTCTTCGTAATATCAAACAACGAGCTGAACAAATTATGCTATTCATCAATACATCCTCTCACTAAAACCTGTGTGCTTTGCTTCAATATAAAACACAAAATCAAAATATTGTCCTTCTTCATCCATAATTTTGAATCCCAGCAGTGTTCATTATATGCTTTTCATTATCATAAAATTATTCTTCCAATCCATAATAAAACTCATATAGCTATTAGTTTCCTTTATTTCAGATACATATTAGATTCACACTTACCCGTGATTGGCTTTACCAATCCTGGCCATTCTACGATCACCTAATTCTTACAAAAAACATCCACCCACCCGATAGTAAAAAACATACATCCATGCAACAGCTGGCGAACATAAGCCACCACATCGAAACAATAATGATTAGAATTCGACCAACGCTTCATTTTTATCCCTCTACCACCATCCAATTCAACAAATTCAACCAAGCAGCTCACACATCAGTGTCGCCAAAATGAAATTAACTATCAACTGTTCGGTGTTCGAATTTCTCTCGTTTTTTCAAGTTGAATTCAATACTATCCTATATATCGTACGTCTTCGAAAGTATGGATCATTGATATGAACATTTGCCACTTGACAAGTTTCTTTAGTAAACTTGAAAAACTATCTTTAGTTTTGTGGTAATTATTCACACACTTTAGATGTTTAAAAATTTCTGCTTTCGAGTAGAAACTTTCTATGAACTGTCTCGAATTTGTAGATTAGGATTGAATTGCAGCACTTTAAAACTTAATAGCCGAACTTACCTGATGAGGACCCTTAAGCAAGGTCGAAACCGGTCGTAAGCTTAGCTTGTGCTATTAAACGAAATTCATTTCTATATACACCCAAACCCCACGACAACCCACACCCACATCCAATTCATATAATAAAAGATTCGCACCGGTTTGCTTTCTTGCGTTTTTTGTACCAGTAGCCGTTATTGAAAAAAAAGCACTTAAAGGAAGGACAAAAAATTTGAACTTTATATGGAAGAAAGATACCTTCTTATAATAAATAGATTTTGAAAATAATTTGTAAATAAATATTGAATTTCTCTCCCTTCCCTAGAAGGATGAGATTGTACTTCACTGTTTCCGTCACGGATGAGTAAATTAATTAACGAATTCGTTCTTCTTCGGTGTAGTAAATAGAAGAAGATGGATCACGGTATCAAACTGTTAGCTCGTTTCGTCGAGCGGTCTCTTTTCTGTTTATTTTAAAAGAAACGTATCCTATATATATAACATGTCCTTCACATACATATACTTAATAACATCACAGAAAAAGAAAGGAAAAGAAGTGACTATATAAAAAACAAGAAACGAAAGCATCGAAGGATAGAAATGAACTGAATCTACCGCTAACAGAAATCTTTGTCGTTTTTTTTCAAAATAAAGACAAATTAACACCCCAAGCTGGTATGGATGAAAAATGTTGAAGTGGTTTGCGTAGTTTTTAAAGTTACTTATCAGTATAATTTTCAGACGTTCAGGTCATCAATCCCAAAAACTATAAAAGAGCCTTTTCTTTCAGAAGCTAGAAAATACATTGTTAGATCAATTAGGTGCAAAATAATTCGTTGCAACTCATTTCGTTGCTGGTCTATTCAGCGCAAACAAATTCATCGCATCAAAGCAGAAAGAGAAAATAATAAAATTGAAAGAAGTGCTTCTTTTTGACTTCTTACTCAATGCAACACGCGATTTAATCTTTGGAATAAGAAACAATCTTTGATCACAACAATAAAGCATAGAATTGAATTGAAAATGAATTGAATTTGCAGAAAAAAATCTACCAAATAAAATAAACCAAAAATTGTAAAACTTAAAATTCAGTTTATTCATGTAGAATTTTGATATGGAGCAATACTAAAAAGATTCTCGCAATCCGATTTTTAGCAATGGATGGTGTTCATTTTGCTTTAATGCGTGTTTCGAAGTTTGAACTAAAAATAAAAGAAAGTGCAGAATAGAAAATGTTGTCGAATATTCTGTTTAGAGCTTAGATTTATTTTCATTTCAGATGTGAAAATTCTGGCTTTTCCTATGCACTATTAGCTGACATGTTAGCCTAGGAAAGAACCCAAAATTGATAAAACTAGTTTTTTCGCTTGTTCAATTTCTTTCCTAGGCCTTAGTGTTTCAAACGCAATTCAATTTCAATACAATTATATATTTGATTATTGACATTGACACTTATTTATTATTCCGCAGATTGACTTGTGTGTTGCATTGAATAAAAAGCCAAAAAAGAAGTGTTTCTTGCGATTTAATTCTTTTTTCTTTTTGCTTTATACAACATATAAATCGAAGTTGAAATGGTCGACAATGAATTATCTGTGCGATGAATTTCTGATTGACTTTCAAAGAATATCATCACAGAACACTAATGTTCAAACTCGTTTGACATCGTTGAGTTTAATCACAATGTTTATATTGAGAAATAAAATAGTTGCATATCTCAATTGAAAGAAAATTTCATTGATTCTACTCTACTATTGAAAACTATTTGTGAACATCTATTCTTGACTTCAGTTTTAAATCAAAAATACTATGCACTGCTTTGGCTCTTTACTACTCAAATATACTATCATTTGATTTTAGTTATCACCTACAGAACTCCTACAACAAGTCACATAGGATTAAAAGAGCAGTGATTTGAGGTGATGCGAAGCTTACGATTTTTCTTTGGATGTTCCATACAAAAGTTTAAAAAAATCTGAGTATTGTCAGTGAGATTTCAAGAAAAAAAAGGGAAGGAGGTTCAAGTGATATTTTCAATTAACTCTCGTTTGTGCGGCAATTTTATTTATACGAAATTCATGATTTTGTATTAGATGTAA